ATATGTGATAGCAAACTGCGATTCTTTTCTCTTTTGGTATCATGGAAACCCTTCCTTTAGGCGATGACATTATTATCTAGCGGTTAAACAGCACGATCGTAAATCACGCGTAAGCGAGATCAAACAATACCGCAAAATAACGTTTCTATTCGAACTGTCTGCGATCGTAACCATTAATTCTATCGTGCGTTGCGATAGCGGCCTTTGCATAGTTGTTTAGTGCGATTACTTCCGTGGAATTGTCGTGCTCACAGGATTTTAAATATTTCAAGTTTATAGATTTCGACAGAATATTCTTACGCTAATTTTTGAAACACCATTTTCTTTTAATTTCTTTTGCATAATCGGATGGTATTCAATAAAGTTAGATAAAGTACAGCGATTTGGAGAGTCGAGATTTATTAGGAGGAGTCTTAGTCTCTGCTTCGCCACTTTGTTGTTCAGGTATATAATTACAGTATAGAAAAATACGAGTAGTATTGGTTAAACTGAATATTCAATCGTACCGAGAATATTTCATAAATCTTTTTTATGAATGGTTGATATTTTTACACGATGTAGAAGATGAACGAAGCGAAATTTAGTAAAAGGAAATACAGTCGTGGTAGAAAAGTAGACGGTCATTAGATATTGGAAATGGTCGATACTAACACAAGCTACTATAGTATGATTGTAATCGATAATCGTGAAACGTTAACTACACTACGAATTAGAAAGGAACACATTAATATTGCTAGTGAAATTCACACGGACTGTTTCAAAAATTACAGCGGACTCAATACAGAAGGCTATATACATCACAGTATTAATCACAGCAAAGTGTTCGTAGGCAAGTATAATTTGCTTCGAATTTCAGTTAGATTACAGTCAAATTTCAATGAAACTTTAACTAAATAAAATTTAATAAATGTTTACTAGCAATGGTACACATACTCAAAAACTGGGATCATCCTAGCGTCTTGTAAAAGACTGGATGAGAGAAAGAGGACATTTTCATAATGACTTTGCACTTCGATTGTGCGAATATTTATGTCCACAATTTTGTCGCCGAAATAATATTGATCTAATGACATTTTTAATGAACGCGACCCGAGTATAATATATCTTTTATTAAATAGTAAAATTCATCTACTTATCGCATTAAAGTAAGTTATAGTACTCATAAACTGTTTTTTAGCAATATATTGAACCTATATTCAAAATGATATTTTGTGTTACTTTCTGTTAGGATGTTTTTTCTGGGAAGTAGGTTAACATTACCTTCTAAATACTCACTTTTATATTACTCACTATACTTATATTCTATATTAATACTAAATAACTAATAATACAAATTCTGTTTCGAGTTTCTCTTCTCTGCACCATATTATGTGGTACCCATGACATCACACGCGCCGTTACTGTTTCTGTTTTCTATATCTTTTCTATTTCCCAAAGTCCCTTTTTCTGTTTTCTATCCGCTCTAATTCTACGTCCTCTAATTTTTCACGTTTTCTGCAGAGTCTCACCGCAACCTGGTTAGTGTCAGCTCTTAAGCCTTTACGAACTTCTTTACTTTCTTTTTATTACTTTTTTACGTTATCTGCACCTTTCCGAATTTTTCAACGGTTTTCTAGGACTTTCCCACTTTCTCAATTATCTCCCTCTATCTATACTTCTTTCCTTTTTCTAATGAGTTTTCAGGGAGGAGGTTTGACAAACGCTGGGGCAATATAAACTTTTACGAAGTCAGCATCGCACTTTCGAACATATTTACGTACGAAACATAGAATAAAAATTGTGTTGGGGAAACTTACGGAGTCATTTAAAATACACATTCCTTTCTTTCCACAATTTTATAAGCGTTTCTAATTCCATTATGCGAAAGAATCCTCTCACGCACAGGTGCTTTCTACCTTCTTTTCTACCGTACCTATTTCATAGGACCTTAAATACGCATATTTATTCGTCCTCGAAATCTCTATCATCGATAAGCACTCTTCATCACTTTTTTATCACACGTTAAAAGGAAAATAAAAACAGATTCAACTCGGACATAACGTGTTGGAATTCTTGAATATACTATCGCCATTTTACCTAAAGAAGTGTATTATACTCCATATTGTGTATACAGAATATTTTTGAAAATACATAGGTAGTGCTGCGAATAAATTGTTTATCCTCTAAAGCTGTTACCTGTTTTTCCGCGTTATTATGGTGCTCCATCTTACTAGAAGGACACTTACTTTCTTACTGTAAAAGATAGATACATCTTCCAGCTATAGAGATAATTTATTTTTATAAAATCTCTGTAATAGCTTGCTGTAAATCTTCAGTTTTCAATATCTGATCCAATAAAAAATTATTTATCACTTTAGTCCATACGTTCACTGAAAAATCGATGCTGAAAGTCATTTTTCACTATTTTATTTCTATTTTTATTTTTCCAATAATAATCCTTTGTTTTGATGTTATTCGCTCAATTTTTATAACCTAAACATTAAAAATCTATGAAATAGAAGGAAATGCTTGACGTTATATTCTTTTGCAAAATAATTGAAAGCATGATGTCTTGTCCGATGGAAATTCAACTTTTCTCTTTGAATATTTCCAACTTGCCTAAAAGACTATGTATTTTAGTTTCATAAATCGAATCGGAAGTTATACTAATTTGGTTTATCAAAATATTGATGTATTCAGGAACTTGTTAGTATCCCTAAAACACTCGTTAACCAACCGTCTTTAATTCTCAATTATATTACTTTTCGCGTACATATGTAACATGCATGCTTCATAGAATATACATAGTGTACTAACATAGTTAATTGAGCCGTATTATATTTCTTCCCTTCACTAATTTTTTCTTAATTAAACTGTAATCTGCGTCTTATATGTAGTATATGATTATAAAAATCTAAAATTAAATCTTCTTCCTGCACGTTCCATTTGTTCTTGCATAAAGGGGCTTAAATAAAGTAAATGAAGTAAATAAAGTAAAATAGTGATTAAAGTAAATGAAACAAATGAAATAAGTGAAATAGGTTAAATAGATAAAACCTAGGTAAATCAAGTGAATCAAGTGAATTATGTACATTGATTAGATTGAGTAAATTATGTAAAATAAATAAATAAATAAATTGTAAAGAGAAATATGATTAAGCAAAATTTTAACAAAAAATTGCAATAAAGGAAACAAATTCTGAATTAAAAACTTGTTTGCAGTAAAAATTAAAAAATTAAAAAATCGAAGATTGTTCAATCACGACAGAGTAATATTTCTGACATTTAATAATAATAAATAATATTTCACAAGTAATATTTCATACGTAGATATTTAGGTAGACATTTAATAAGCAACATCTCTACAGAATAATATTTAATTTAAGCAATATTCCCATAATATTCTATATAAAAATCAAATAACAAACAGCTCGAGTTTCATTTTCCATTCATTTTTTCGCTACCATTGTTCCTTTGTTTTCAGTATCTACAATTTTCCTTTATTATCGTCGTTATTCTTTTTTATTCGTTCATTGCTTGGGCACAACTCATCCTATTAGCAATCAGATAAAAGAACTTCGTACCAACTTCTTGTTAACAATGCTCGCAGAAACTTCTTGTTAACAAACGAGGGACGAACTTTGGTACTGCTTTCATTCGATATACACTTAGCAAAACATTACAATAGTTTACAGAATAAATAACGATTGATAGTAGAAAATTTCTTGGAGGAGGTATTACGTATTCCACATTCACCAATTTAAAACACAAATTATTAAACCTACAAAAGGCAACCTATCTTCTCCAAGGAAAATATGGCAACCAAGGAGAAAATGCCACTTGCACGTAGATCCTTAGCGACTTTTATCGACACGAATTTGGTAATGAATTAAAAATTTAGGGCCATTACAATTTAGGTGCTTTGGGATTTTGGATTGTATACAAATTGTAGACATGAGAATACAGAAATTTCGTGATTCGGAGATCCTACGATTTAGTGGTATAGGAGTTTAAAAATCTAGAAAAGAGACATAGAAATTTGTGCATCTAGGAACTTGGAAAGCTAGAAATTTGAGTACATAAGTATTTGGAATTTGGAGATTTACAGGTACAAAAATCTGCGAATTTGAGGATTTAGAAATTTGGTGAAAAGGAATATCGCATTTAGGGATTTGGCAATCTAGGAATTTGAAGACTCAAATATGTAGACTTTAGGATATGGAGATCTAGACTCTTGAACATTTACAAGTTTGACAATCTAGGGGTAGGGATTTGAAGACCTATAAAGAAGATATAAGCATTCAAGAACAGTGGAATGTCGGGATCTGGAAATACAAGAATCTAAGGATATGGAGAGTTTAAAATTTTGCAACATAAATATTTGATAATATCGTGATTTAGGGACCTAGGAATATGGAAATTTGGAAATTGGAACATCAAGAATTTTGAGGACCTAGGAATTTGGAAAACTAGGAATTTCAGAACATAAATATTTAGTGACGGTAAAATTTAAAAATCTAGGAATGTGATAATTTAGAAATTTGGGAATTTTGAATTTTGTAGACTTCAGAATTTGGAGAGCAAGGAATTTGAAACTAAAAAATTTAAGAATATAACTATTTGGGAATATTGGAATCTTAAAATTTGGGGAAATGAAAGTCTAAAAATCCAGTAGTCTAAAAATATGCAAATCCTCGGATTTCGAACTGAGGAAATTTGAAAATTTAGAAACGTATATATAAATGATGACTCTATACATTTAAAAATGTAGAAATTTGAACAATAAAGAATTTCGAAATTTGAAAACGTTAAAATTTATTAATCTAGAAATATGGGCATTTGAAAAGTTACTTTAAATATGCCCTGTAAGTATAAATATATAGAAAAGAATCAAAATTTTATAAATTTATTCAATATTTATTTGATCCTAGTATACGAACCATACGAAATATTGAAATTATCCAGAGTCTAGTGATCAAACATTTAAATACATGCATGGTCGATTGACTTTAGCTACTCACCTCGAACACGTATCACTATCCTACACGTGCTGGTGTAATTCGATACAGGCGACCAAGCTGTAAAGGTGACAACCGTTGTACCAGCTGGTAAATCCGCTTGTAATTGCTTGGCCCATGGCGGGGAAGCATCCACATACCTACACACAAAACAACCAAGTCATTCGTTAACCTAAGGTAAAATCTAGCATGACGATGATACATCAGATTTTATCACGGATGCAATTTCAGTGAACTGCTAAATTGTACACAAACAAGAAGTACCGTATTTTGAAACCTTAATCGATGAAATAGGATGGATATTTTTATTCTATTAACCAGTTAACTGTGATTGACGAGTATACTCGTCATGGAGAAGTGGCACGATTTTGTGTATTGACGAGTATACTCGTCATGCGTATAAAGTAGCGACCATTGGCTATTTAAATTGTAATTTTTAAGAAAAACAAAACATATTCTCAAATTTCAAGGTGTTTAGAATATTTTGAGGCCATGCCAGAATAAAACAAACAAATAAAAAATATAAATAATTTGAGATGAACTCATGTGTCCCCGTATGCACCGGCTGAAACAGCTTACCAGTTCGCACAACGAATTTATTTATGTGCGACAACAACGTTTTTTAGATGTTAGCGTGAAAAAGAATCAAAATTTTATAAATTTATTCAATATTTATTTGATCCTAGTATACGAACCATACGAAATATTGAAATTATCCAGAGTCTAGTGATCAAACATTTAAATACATGCATGGTCGATTGACTTTAGCTACTCACCTCGAACACGTATCACTATCCTACACGTGCTGGTGTAATTCGATACAGGCGACCAAGCTGTAAAGGTGACAACCGTTGTACCAGCTGGTAAATCCGCTTGTAATTGCTTGGCCCATGGCGGGGAAGCATCCACATACCTACACACAAAACAACCAAGTCATTCGTTAACCTAAGGTAAAATCTAGCATGACGATGATACATCAGATTTTATCACGGATGCAATTTCAGTGAACTGCTAAATTGTACACAAACAAGAAGTACCGTATTTTGAAACCTTAATCGATGAAATAGGATGGATATTTTTATTCTATTAACCAGTTAACTGTGATTGACGAGTATACTCGTCATGGAGAAGTGGCACGATTTTGTGTATTGACGAGTATACTCGTCATGCGTATAAAGTAGCGACCATTGGCTATTTAAATTGTAATTTTTAAGAAAAACAAAACATATTCTCAAATTTCAAGGTGTTTAGAATATTTTGAGGCCATGCCAGAATAAAACAAACAAATAAAAAATATAAATAATTTGAGATGAACTCATGTGTCCCCGTATGCACCGGCTGAAACAGCTTACCAGTTCGCACAACGAATTTATTTATGTGCGACAACAACGTTTTTTAGATGTTAGCGTGAAAGGAAAGCAAAAGCAAAAGTCGGAAAGCTGATTTATGATAGGGTCCCTTCAGGGATGGTCTATCATATGCATTTAATTTTTATTGCGTTTTTCATCTAATAAGTATGTAATATATGTTTAAGTTAACCAAATAAATATACATTAGTAATAAAAATGTCAATTTTATAAAATAAACCCATCTTTTTGATCCAATATCTTACCAGCGCAACTTACTCTGTGATTGACGAGTATACTCGTCATGGCTCGATTCTGGCGACACAAAACGGTGCGCGCTCTCAAACGAGGGCGTCACAGTTAACTGGTTAAGTATATTATTTTTACAATACATTAAATTACATATGTTGCATATACAGCCCTTTGCCATCTAGTTAGGACCACTATTGCAAGATTACTAAATTTCCAATTTTCGAAGTTGCAAGTGCCTTATTTTTATATTCCCAACTTTCTGCATTTACGAATTTTCAAGTTTTACAATTTCGTAAATCCAAAAACTTTCAAATTTGCAAATTTCTAAGATTTAAATATTTCAAATTGTCAAATTTCAAATGACTCAAACTTTAAAACTTATACAAGTTTCAAGATCTTTAGATAGTTAAAACTCTAAATTTCTAAATTATGACAATTTCTTATGAAAAAATTCGTAAACTTTATATTTTCACAGATTGTTAAACGTCCATATCCGCAAATTCCCAAATTATTATTGTAAGTTTCAAAACTTCAAAATTTTCAAATTTGTAAATTTCAAAATGACTTAATATCAGATTATTAAATTGCGAAATTTAAAAATGCCGTAATTTGCAAAATTTCACTTCAACAAAAACACAAATCCATTTTCCAAATATTAGAATTCTCAAATGTCCAAATTACTAAATTTCCAAATTTACTAGTCTTTAAATTTCTAAATCCTCAAATTTCCAAATTTCCATATTACTAAATTTCCAAATTCACTAATCCTTCAATTTCCAAAGCACCAAATTCTTCAATACCTCTAAATTTTTTTGTGAGTGCCTAATTTTCAAATCCCTAAATTTCTTTTTTTTAAAATTCTCCACTTTTAAAACCCCCAAATAGCCAAATAATGAAACCTAGCACTGGAAGCCAGATTTGCTCACAGCTGTACATCCTTGTCAGCTATATGATTGACATTTGTACGGATTGCAGAGTGATGTCTCTATCTGGTCGCGTAAAATCGTGTGCAAACGACACTGGGTCGAATAAATGGATACACGAGAGCACTGATACATGTCCAAAGACGTATATACATCCTTCGAGGGAACCTAACCTCTAAGCTCGTTTGGAATTCCTATTGTGCGCCAGGAAAGGCTTGCGAGTAGTCCTCGTTGCGGAGCAAACTAAACCATTCCATTATGAGAATATATCGTAGACTGTACACAGAACATTGCAGAAAAGAAATTAATTTCGATGCTTTGATGTTCCGTCTAATGGATGAACGCAATTCGCCGTTGGGATTCATATCTTAATTAATTTGTAGCGAGTAATTTGTCGAATGAAGACTATGGAATTTGACACGAATTAATGATTAGGTTTATAGAATAGTATACTTTTATACTACTACCAACTTGCCAAATTCATCAGCATCTACATTTCTAAATTACTAAGCTTTCAAATCTTAATTTTCTAATTCTAAGTATACAGGGTGGCTCACCATATTTTGCCATCTAGATTTTGCGTCATTATTATTACTCATAGCAAACAATGTTTCAGATGAAGTTGAATGGTTTCGAGAGGAGCATATGCTGGTGGTATATTTTTTTGTAGATGGACGTGTAAAGGACATATGAAGGTCATTAATGTTTTTTTAAATGGAATCATACATTTTTTATTGCATCAGCTGATACTCCTTCGTATTCTTTACAAAAAAGTGTTAATCTATTTATGAGAAAAAATCATTAGTTTAGGAGATATTTTAATTCTAACTTGTTAGGAAATCGTAACTTCCTGGTCAATATTATGAATTGCCGTAACTTAACAGTAAATGTTTTTCTACATGCTTTGAGAGGTCACGTGTTACTAAACGAATTGTGAGTTTTTGTTTTTTTTTTTGTTACGCAATAACAGTGAAATTTAGTCTCTGTTATGTCTTTAATACGGTGAATACGACGATACGATGAATTATCACTTCATAATGAGGTATTCTATAGAAGAAAAGCTAGACATGTTATCAGTTTATTTTGAAGCTGAGAAAAGTGCTACACATGCAGAAAGATTATATACTATGGAATGTTAATAAGTCATTAATTTCTCGATTCAGAAAGTGGTCTGATACAAATGGTCGCTACATTGAACCTTTTCTGTAAGTAGATATTAAAATTAAAATATCTTCTAAACTAATATAGGTTTTAATATAAGTTTAATGTAAGTGTAGTACAAGTTTGATATAAATATAGTTTAATACAATGCTGGATAATATTGAAACGTCTTTCCGTCGCGGCGTCTTAAAAACTTCTACCCCGAGCACGCGTGCAGGGTTGCACGCGTCAAATAAAACAAAAGACTTCATCGAAAAATTCCGTTGAACCCCGCATAATACATCGTATACTACCTCACGAATTACGTTATATTCCCTACACTAATGATTTTTTCTCATAAATAGATTAATACTTTTCTGCAAAGAATATGAAGAAGTATCAGCTGATGCAATAAAAAATATATGATTCCATTTAAAAAACCATTAATGACCTTCATATGTTCTTTACACGTCCACAAAAAAATATACTACCAGCATATGCCCCTCTCAAAACCATTCAACTTCAGCTGAAACATTGTTTGCTATGAGTAATAATAATGGCGCAAATCTAGATGGCAAAATGTGATGAGCCACCCTGTTATTATACAATCTATTGCAGCAGTGTAACAATAACGCATTTACATTTAATATGAATTTAATACATTTGAAAATAATCTTTTTCAACACACGATTTTTACTATAGAGTAAATTTTATCATATCCTTACTATGAAATAATATAGGAGTATGAATTCTGAATGCAATCTATTTATCATTCGTCTTTTCATTCCTTTCCCAATCATACTTTCAAAACCACTACGCCCGCTTGTAATACATTCATACTTTGCTATTCACTCTTTCAATGAATTCTTACATTCACTCTCACAATATTAACCTTAAAACCCGAAAATCTTCACAAAACCTTATTGAAGCAAAATTCACTTATTCTTATTGTAGAACGTAGTTCTGCTCCTGGGACGACTCGATCTGCATCTCTTTGTTTACTTGTTTGTTTGTCTGTACCACGCTACGGGTAGCAATTTTGAGACTATTGACTCGAAATTTTGAGGACAGACTGAGGAGACACACTAAATTTGCTGTGTACATAAATATTGACAGCCGTTTGATAATAGGAACCTGTCGTCATTGACATCGATAAAAAACCGTGTTATTGTTGACGACAATCTTGGTCGTTATTGACGTCAGTCGTTAAATCAACAATAAGTGTTTGGTATCGTTTTCGATAGTTTCAGACACGTTTAATCATTTGGATTTTAAAATCCCCACATATATCTCATTTTTGTTCTACTATGTGTTTACAATAGGTACTCGAAATTTTAAATTACAAGTTTTCTCAAAGATATAACACATATTGCACATTTGATAATTTACTTTTTAAGACAATTTGCAAAACACATACTTGATACATCGTTTGCCAAGCTGAAATAGTTGAAAATTTGTTTAAGTAGTACTTTTATTTGTAACAAATTTTATAAAATATTTGTACACTACCATGTTATGTTTATTACTCATATTTCCAAGTAGCAAAAAGAAGCATTTTCAATTAGACTACAAAGCAAAGTTTTAATAACATAGATGATAGGTTCGTGTGAAAATTTAGACGTCACATATAAATGACGTAACAGTTAATCCTTCGACCACTGCGACATTTACCTAACCTAACCCATCTCTAACCGCAGATTGCAACGTATTACTAAATTAATAAATATATATTTATAAATACCTCCACCAATTCATGTTGGATTTAGGCTGCGGAAACGAGACGCGTATCGTGTTCTGCCTTGCGGGTAGTTCCACGTCCATGTCCCTCGGACACCTCACGAACGGTCGTGGCATGTCTGAAGCAACAAAGCCTGCTATTAAACACGCGGTTTTCCGTGAAATGTCTAACGGAATTATAGTTGTAGGAAAATAGGCACGAAGCAAACACCGAGCTATGACGGATTCTAGCCTTCGGAATTATCGCGTTCCTCGGAACTGTCTCCACGCTCGTAATCAAATTATCGACTGCTCGCTAAATTGCTGCAGGGCTCAATTACTATGGTATCCCATATCGCGTATATAACTGTACTGTTACCGTTCAAACGTGTGTCGACCTTAGATACGTAATCGTATGTTCCATAATTATTTCACAATATAAGATATGTGCCGACGGCAGTTTTGAGAATGTACCATATGTGGGCGGCATTTCATTAACACGATGACTGTTTTGCAGATCACTGCTGACGGATATTACTTTGATAGCATGTTGTTAAATACGTAGGTGAGGAAATTTAATGCAAATGCAGATTGATGGACTGATATTTTTTAGACACTGCAACATTATCAAGGTGAAATATTTGTAACTAAATAAAAATTGTGTTGTATTGCGATAGAACATAAGGTGAGTGTACCATGAATGTCCACATGCACCTTAGTGACCAAATGTTCATTTCATTTCATTAAGGATGGTAAGTAAAGCTATCTATTGATTAAAATCTTGAAATACTTGATTTATTACCTTGAAGATTGGTTTCTTATTAAGGTGTCTGTTAACAACAGGTCTTAATAAGGTCAATTTCTAAATACACCAAAATACTATAAAATCCCACCCCGACTCACTAATGCATACAACTGCAGGCCAAACTGTGGCAAGTATGACTTTTTGTCAGAGAATCTTAACATGACTTTCACATGTATCGTAACATATTTTCTTAACATGAACCAAAAATCTCAAAAGTTGTCAGAAATGTCGAAAAGTGGTTAAGGAGGTCTGAAAGCGGAGAGTCTGCCAACGAGTGAAAACTAGTAAAATAAATTCATCAGCGACCACATCCTCATTAATAACTAATTGTTCAATTCATTTTATTGAATAAATTGTTATTGAAAAAATAATAAATAGACCTATTTATTGATATAAATGTTAAAATATTGTAGTTACAATTACTTTATTTACTATTTGAAAAATTAATCTTATATTAACCCTTTCACTACGGCGCGATTTTGGAGTAATCCATCAACAGGGACGACGCGTTAGACGCATGTCGGTCGCTGCGCCGTGCAGACCAGTAACCATAACAGTATCCGGAAATTTGATACTATTCGTAGGACTTAAAAAACAATCATTGCAAATTGTTGAAAACAGCAAAAATAAATGCAGAAATATGTCGGTAATTTGCCAATAAGTCGGTAATCAAGTATGTATATTTATCTACTATCTATATGATACCGCTCGTTTCAATTAGATCCTCAAATGTTAAAATAAAATAATATCTACACTGCTCAAAAGAAATATGGCATAGAAAAATTTTAGGCAAAAATTGGGCAAATTTGACTGATGATAACTCCGTGAAAAATTATCGCAAAGTTATGCTCTTTTTTTTAAATTAAAGCTTGAGATCTCTACTTTAAGACCCTATAATTTGATTTTAAATTTGATGCATCCCTACTACAATAACACCGTAAATGTGAGGTCATGTTTGCAATATTGAAAATTACAAAGTTTGACGAAATGCATGGACTTGCCACATTTTTTTTTTGGTGATACTGTTTAGAGCAGCGTAAAGTCCAAACCTTCATCTTTAGTTTCCAGTACGTGAAAAACCGCTACCGTTTTTTTCTGCAAAGATACAGAACTTTAAAGAATGATTTTTCACGGAGTTATCATCAGTTAAATTTGCCCAATTTTTGCCAAAAATTTTTCTGTGGCATACTTCTTTTGAGCAGTATATATAATTATTCTTTACTGTTCTCTCTGCAATTACGATATCGTACACGTATATTAAAAGATCTTGTGTTTCATTTAAAGTTCCTTCCTTGTTGTTTCTCGTTTTAAAATAAATTCATTTGGTGTTCAAATTGTGTTAATTGTGTTGTCTTATATTTAATAGTTTTCAATATTATATTATAAATCTGTATTCCCATTTCCATCACAAATAAATTAAATATATCTATTATTGATTTATTTTAAGTAGCCTTTTATAAAAGTGTAGCAAAGCTACATCACATTCTTTGCATTCGTACCTAGTTTCTCGACGAATTTTATGTTTACTGCATACTGCACATTTTCGAGCAGAATCTTTTTTTTTTTTAAAGACGGATTAAAATATGTGCTAGGAAAATGCCTTTCAATAAGACCTTTCAATAAGATACATCTAGGGATGTATATTTACGTCTTTCGTGTACATCGATAGATTTCGCAGGACGTATATATACGTCTTTCGTGTATATCGATAGACTTCTCAGGACGTATATATACGTCTTTCGTGTATATCGATAGACTTCTCAGGACATATATTTACGTCTTTCGTAGTGAAAGGGTTAAGGTGGTTGTTAACATGTATACTTAGTTAGAGGATAAGATATTATATAAGATAAATTTCTCCGTCAATGACCAACTGTTTATTTTAACAGTTGTCATGAATTTACTGTAGGATTAATGTGTCATATAATTCCTACAGAAATATAGTGTTATCATAAATTTCCACGATTTGTTACTAAATACTAATACAATTTCATTTATAATTATTTGAAAAGAAATTAACAAAATGAAAGAGGAATATTGATCTATTAGTTAGTAGTTTTAATTTTAAATATTCAAACAAATATTTTTGTTTCACATTTTCTTTACTCTAAAAATTGTACTTAACAGATGCTATAGATTTTCTGCGGAGTTAATTTCCGGTATAATAACCACAGAAATATAGCGTAGTCGTAAATATCAGTGATCTGTTAGGTGATACATGTTTCACGACAGTGGAACAGTGACGGTTTTGATTGATGAATCAACGCACAGTGCCGTACACAAATTTATATTTAGAGGGTTCCAAACAAGAATAAGCAGAAAAATATTAATTAATAGTTATTAAATTTAGTACAGTATAATTATTAATTGTCAATAATTAATTTTAATGTAATATTTCGTATATCTAAGAAAATTTTTGTTTTGTACAGAATACATGCGAAACAAAAACAAAAATTTACGACGACATTGTTTTTATGTACCTACAATATATTGACTAATAATATCTATAATTTAACAATATTAGTGTTGATTGATTTATTGCAACTATCACTTATTAAATTATTCGATGATTAATGAACTAATGATTGATTAGGTAACCAATTTAACCAATATAGATAATATATTTATTTATTATCCTGTTATTATTTATAACCCTTTATCTGTCATACACTTGTGTTATATCGAACATAAATATATTGTAAATTTCATAATTAATAAATTTTTAGAGAACATTTGTTATTATTTGTAATTACAATTGTTTATCTGTTTTCATAAAAAATTGCAAATTTGCATTATTATATAATTGTTCTTTAAACAAATTCTGCAAATATTTGAAAATGTAATAAATAAATATTTCAAATATTAAAACATATTGGAAAACCTAAAAAATAAATGTTTGAAAATATTTGAAACCATAAGAAATAAATATTTGAAAATATTTGAACGTATAACAAATAAGTATTTAAAAATATTTGTTTAGAGCTACTTTATTATTATTACCACTTAAGAAAATTGAAAATTGAAATATAGGATGTAATTGTAAAAACTGTCATGTTTTGTCTCGAAACTAAATTTATTACAGATACTTTAAAGAATATTTGAACTCAACTGCTTTTAACACAAACCACATGTTCTCTATCAATCAATCTCCGATATTTATATGATTGTAAAATCACGCTGTATTTCTGCAGTTACGATTCACGTGTTGAATATTGATTAATAATATTTTTTAACGGTATTAATATTGTGTTTATCGATTGACGACAAATTAATAATAGATTTATTAACTTCTCAATAATGAAATTATTGCAACTACTATTTTTCTTGTTCAAAAAATTTTTCTTGTTCTAGTTAATTAGACACTTACAATTTACAATAAACATAAATTATAATATTTACAAGTGAATATATTATAATTTCAGTATATTATAATTTACAATAAGGAAACATAAAATGATGGCAGCTATTTGACTGTAAGATGGCCGTTTGAACGTTATCTTCAATTTCTTAAATAGAATCGCTCATTTTTTATTGCATATTCCTGCAGCCCTCGTCAAGATGTTTTCAAAACAACACCTATATTTGTCTTTTGTGCAAATTATTTTCAAAACATGAAGCTTTAAAGTTTCGTCGACTTTGAAGCTTCATATCTTAGGAATATTTTGCACAAAAACAGACATAGATAATGTTCAGAAAACGACGACGAAAGTTACAAGAATGTGCAATAAAGGATGGGGTGCTCCGTTTAAGAAACGACCATTCAAGGTCAAAGTCAATCACCATCTCATGGTGATAACTGGGGATCGAACTTCAGAAATACTCTGTATAACTCTTATACACACATAGGGTACCGATTAATAATACATTTGCGTAATACTAATATCACATTGATCAATTTATAACGCTTATTATTGCTAAAATAATTAATAATTGATCGATTAATCTGAACAAGCAAAACGTTAGAACTATCCTTCTTTATATGAACAATTATATCTCAAATATATCAAATATTTAAATTCATCTTCTTTCAATGTGAAACTGCTTTTTATTCCAATCAACGATATTTACGACTGAGCTATATTTTCCGATATTTCCGCGATTAGCCGTTTAGGACGCAACAATTACGGTTACAGCACCAATACCTTTTCGTTTTACAATCTAAACACAGGAAAATTTCCATGCCGTTAAGCGGAAAGAAAAAAAAGAAGAAGAAGGTTGAACGAAAAATGAAATGTAAAAGAAAGCTAAGAGCTGGTCCCTGTAAGCTCGTTAAGGCGTGGTGTTAACGTATAGCGTCGTTAGCAACCGGTCTTTACGCCGGAACTTCCTATTATTAAAAGCTGTTTAGAGCAGCCGTGTGACTAATTAAACGCGCCAGAGGATTTTCGTTGGTAAATAATTGCAGCTGCCGGCGATCTTTCTTCTCGATCGCTTGCAGAAACCAACCACCGCCTTGGTTTCCCAAGTTTCGTTCAATTGAAACGGTACCCACGATTTCTATATAGCGGTTCTAAATTAGCTCGTTGTTCAATAGAATTATATGCTGCGATAAGGAATACAAGGGCAAGTTGACACATTCTGCAACTCTCCTTTGAATTAACTGGTAAATGAAAAATATGCTAAGTGTAAATACACTAAAAATTTCTCATCCAGAGAAATAAACATCTAAAAATTTAGACCTCCTTTTGTATATATTTTGTAAATAGCAATGCAATGATCATACATAAAAAATAAATTAGATGATGTTTATTTAACATCAGAATGTATATTCATCTACTTATGGAAACAGAGAAATAAACTTTCAAATTTTCTAATCGTTTAATTCAATTGCAAGAAAAAAAAGAAATCATTCTCTTTCCGGGATATTTGAGAATTTCAGTTGAGATTTAAGGGTCTAGGGATTTGTGGATTTGAATATTTGGGAATTTTAGGATTTAGGAATTTGGGGACCTGGAGGTTTCGGAATGTAGTTATTTAGGATTACGGATATTTGGGGATGTAGAGAAATGAGAATCTAGGGATTTGGGGATGTGAGGATTTAGGGACGTATGGATTTGAACATGTAGGAATTTGGGATTGTAGAAATTTGGGGATGTGCAGATATGAGCATGAAGGGATTTGGGCATAAAGGGATTTGGGGATGTTAGGATTTGGAGATGTAGAAATTTGGGGATATAGGAATTTGGGGATCCAGGCATTTGAGGATGTGAAGATTTAGGGACGTACGGATGTGAACATATAGGGATTTGGGGATGTAGGGATTTGGACATGTAAAGATTTGGGGATGTAGAAATTTAGCAATCTCGCGATTTGAGGATTTAGCGATTTGGGGATTTAGGTATTCGAGGGTTGAAAGATATGGAGATATGGGGACATCAAGATTTAGAAATTTAAGAATCTAGCCATTTGGGGATGTAAAAAGTTCATGATTTAGGATTTTGGGGTCCTATAGATTTGAGAATTTAACGATTTGCAAGTATAGAAATTTAGGGATGTTAGGAATTTAAGGATGTACGCATTTGGAATTTGAAGATTTTAGGAAGAAAATGGTTTTTTTCCTTTTTTGCCTTCCAAAACTAATACATGCTAAATACCTACTAAATCTGATACATGCAAAGCAAGAAACGTAAAAATTCAATTAGTTACTGTCAAGTAATATTGTAGTACTATTTTTACTAGCATACTGTGGATACCTTAGATCAAGTCTAACCTGATGTAAGAAATACGCGACTGCTTGTCCACTTAACGATTCGACATTAATTAAGTAATAAAGTTTGTTGAATTTCAAAAAACATGCTAAATTATGTACAAATTGCACGTAGCAAACAACTACAATTGTTGCTTGTTCAAGAATTGTCTAAGAATTAAAAATACACCCGACAGCTTTGCCATATTATTAATGCGCTGTAACAATCTTGAAACGATCTGTACAACTCGTATATCACAAGGTGAATTTTAGCGAGGAAGTTCGAAACTGGTTTAACGCGATAGAGAATCGTCGTGGAAGTTAAAAGGTCGAAGAAAGAGCTCACCTGAATGGTAACGGGAATCGGTCACGATCGATTCTTGAATACAAGTCGGTTCGTTCCCGTTCCAACGGTCGCCGGCCATGCAGTACCTCGTGTGGGGTCCTTCTAGCCTGAAACCCCTTCGACATCGTATATGACATCTGGCTCCAACGGGATAATCCACTGCACCGGAAGAATGACCGGGACATCTGATCTAGAATGAGAAGAATATAGGAAATACAATACCGATGCACATCTAGAAATTATTTTTCATCCTTCCAATTTTTTATTCAAATAAATACAAGATGATTCACAAAACTTGCACATTTGAATTAACTTGTAAGAAGTTTTTTATTCAAAAATTTCATGATGTAGAAGAGTGAATTATGTAATAGGCGACGAAATGAGATAGACCTAATGTTTTATGCTGGATTTATTTAACACAAATTAAATGTTTTCTTCTTAAAAAATTATCGGGTCATAAAACTTTCTCTAACGTTGAAGGTTCGAGTCAAGAGGCTGTGTTCTTTAGCTGTTTATTTTAACTGTAGGACCCATAGGGTCTATTGACTTGTAACGAATTTTTCCTTAACGACCTTCTGAACGTTATCCTTGAAAAGAAAAGACGTGTTTTCCGTATTTCTAGATCCAGTATTAAAGTTTCTTTTTACAAACTATTTCTGCTTTTTATTTTATTTCGCCGCCTATTTCCTATATTTTATAAAAAGAAACATTAATTCACACGCCTACAGACCCCCCGCGGATGAAATAAGCAACTTAAGGAACACAGCTGCATCCTCTTGACTTGAGTTTTCAACATAAGAGAAAATTTACTACTGGATAATTTTTTAAGAAGAAATTCAATTTTTGTTAAATAAATCTAACATGTAATGTATATATTTTTCTTATAGATGATGATTTATATAATTTACGGAGATTTAAAAATCTCTTGCCTTATAATATTGTGTCCTACATGTGACGCACAAAACTGCTAATATGAGACAAAAATTACTCATGTTTTCATCAGGAATGAATTTCAAGTTAAATTTAATCACAACCCTTGCACTCAGTGATTGTATCCAAAATATTCTTAACATTTGAACATTCTTTATGTTAACATTACATCAATAATTAATTCTCTGCGTCTGACGTATTAATTGAGAAAATCATAGGTTGAGAAGTCAACAAACGAAGCGAATAATTAACACGTTGAGTGCCACACGAATTTATAAGAAAATTCACGTCAGATCACGCTATAAAAGTAAAGCCACAAAAACTGTTTGGAAAGAAATATTTAAATACATTAATGACACAATACTGTAATAAATAAAAATTAAGTAAATTTTAAATAAATTTCAGGTAATTACTTAAAACAATACGTAAATGTTTTATAACATATTTTAATGTCAGCCATTGCTCACAATCAGTCAAAATCAGAGCCAGTCACCAATGACTGACGTAGCATTCAATGTGTCAATTATTAGGCCCATAGCTAATAAAGATATAAGGTGAAGTGGAGTAAGTTCGTAAACGGGGCAAGTGCATATATGTATAGGCTATTTTTATTACAATATGAGCGAAATTTCTCCATCTAGTACAGGGGTCGGCAACCTGCGGCTCGCGAGCCACATGCGGCTCTTTGGATGTGAAGCTGCGGCTCTTTAGTTTCATACACAAATATTATTTATTTTATCAAAAAAAAAAAAAACATTTAAAAATCGTTCTGAATCGATTAACGAGGATTAGGCACCGATTCTATCTCCCAACCACTTGTACTCGCTTTTCACCGCATCCCTCCCCCGTGACACGCGTCGTCGCTGTCGTCAACTGTTAATGTTGTAAGTAAATGTTTAATTGTTTTAATTTTTTACTTAAATAATAAGTAATTATCTAATAATGCCATATATATATTATCTAATTTGTTGTGAAAAACACTACTTATATATGAATAAATAGATACTTTTTCTTATGAATAAATAGATTAGTTTTTTTTTTATCAAAAAATTTTATTTATGCGAGTACTATTTATTGTTGGCAAGAACAAATTTTGTGGCTCTTTAAAAACTTTGAAATTTTGTAAATTGTAATTTTTGACTCTTCCGACTAAAAGGGTTGCCGACCCCTGATCTAGTATGTAGTAATGTGCTACAAGTTGATGTGAGCTATTTGTCATAGATAGCGCACAAAAATGCACGTATTTTCCTCAAATTGTTAATAATTCTGATCTTGCCCCATTGCACATGAAATAAAGTTTCAAAGTATTTTAAACTTCAAGTTACGCTCTTACCTTATTTTCGGGGAAAGTGCAGAGTAGTTGACATTTTAAACAATTTCCTATCAAAATCAAAATGTACAAGGAAAATCAAGGTCCTAGTTAATATTAATTAAATAGTAGTAATTGTGCAAAGCGTTCTATATCGACAGCGTTAAGTATTTACATAGCAGACTGAAAATACTTATGATTAAATACCAACTTTAAAAAAACCAGTCTGCATTCCCTCTTCACCTTATTCATGTTTACTCATAATTTGCAATATTTATATATTTTTACATATAAAATATAGAAATCTATTTAAGATAACAAAGGTGATCATGAAATCTTTAAAAGTCGTTGGAAATGTGCAAATTGAAAAGTGTTCAATTTCCAATATTTGTTTGCACTCTATACCGAAAATTTGTTCTGGAGAAATGAAAAATAAAATTGAAATCATTCGTTTCTCGTTCTAAGGTTTTACATACAGCGTAATTTGTGTGATATGCTTCATTAATTTTGTGTATATTATAAATTATATTATTTTGCTGCCAAATTAATCTAGTAAGTAATATGCTTTGTTCCACTGCAATATTAATATTATAAACTTCTTTTGTCAAATGAAAAATGTACAAGGTAGGATATAACTAATAAACACGACCATGAATTCTATAAGCTAACCTCAACAATTTTTTAATTTCCAAAATTTCTAAATTTTCAAAGTTCCAAATTTCAACGATCAAATTTCTAAATTTCCAAACTTTTAATTTTTGAAATTACCATATTCTTCAGTTTCTAAATTTTGAGTTTCTACATTGAGTTTCTAAGTATTTCAAAATCTTCAAATTAGAATATTTCGAAATCCCTGAATTCTTAAATCACTAAATCTTCAATTTGGAAAATTCCCTAATTCTTCAATTTTTCAATAGTCAAAGTACTCAAATTCGACAATTCTCAAATGGCCAAATTCCCATATTCCAAACGCCCCAACCCTCAAATTCCTGAAATCCCAAACTTCCAATCCCCCAAAACTCCCAATCCTCCAAATTCACGAATTCCCAAACTTTCAATCGCTCAAACTCCCATTTCTCCAAATTCCCAAATTCCCAGATTTCCAAATTCCCAAATTCGCAAATTCCCAAATTCCCAAATTCCCAAATCCCTAAATCCCCAAATCGCCAAATTCTCAAATCCCTAAATCTGGATATTCTTGAATCACTAAATCTCTAAATCCTCAAATTTCCAAGTTCTCAAGTTAGTTAATTTTCCAAATCCCTAAATCCCTAAATGTTCAAACCGTCTCGTTAAAATACAAATTCTGGTATAATATTTGTCCACCGAATCTGCGATAGAATCCATGAATCAAAAAATCCTCGAGATTACCGGTCTTGTGTAAAAACCAATTAAAACAAAAGAGTGCGCTAAAGTTATCAGAGAAGAAAACATTTTTCATTGTTTCTAGTAACAATTTTAAAGTTTCGGCGGAATATTCATTGCTGCTCGCGGCGAACTTGCAGCGACGATTAAAAAACCAATAACAAGTTCACATGGAGGCTTGTTAAACCCGGAATAACTTTTACAGCACTTTTCCAAGAATTCACATTTACTTGCTCGTTAAACTTGCAACATCAATTTAAAGAAACCTGTTGAAACTTGTAAAGAGCGAAATAACTTTGAACAGCTTTCTATTAAAATTGATCAGTGCTCAAACGTTGAATACATAATTCAAAGGATATTATATAAAATGAAATTTTCTATGGGGATAACCCGTATCCCTTGGAAGTTCTATACAATATTAATAGCAGTTGCGAGCATTTTGCGTAATAAATTGTTTACACACTTCGGCGTGGAGTGGTGGTTCCATGGCACGGCATCTCAATTCCGTTGAAATGCAAGTTCTCTCGTCGGAAGCCAACAACGAATCACCGCTGCACGTACAGTAGTAACTTCCGGCAGTGTTAACGCATTCACCGTTGCAGCCACCGTTACGATTCAAGCACTCGTTTATGTCTTGGCACTGGCTTCTGTTTCTGGGAACAAAAGTCAGAATTTGTTTGAGGAAATCTCGGCGAAGTAACCACGACCGAATAAATTAAAGCCTGACACGCTTTCGTCTAGACCTTCTACAGTTATTAATATTCAGACACTATGGTATTCTACCAATTATTTTTTACTATATTTCTACATTATTAAATTAACATATTTTTTCTTGTCATAAAGCGTATAATATTATTTATTTAAACTAATTAATTTTACGAAAACAGAAGTATATTGGGAAATGTATTCTTACTTCACAAATGTATTTGAACATTTATTTGACCATATTTCAGCACTTTATTTTGAAAGTGAGACAAGTCCATTGGGTATAATAAAATATTTTTTTTACCCAGTATTTTCGTAACTGATAAAATTATAGTGTTTGTATATCAATAAAAGTCACGGTATTTATTTTAAGAAACATTTTAGAGGTTATGATTCAACGGTTAATATTATTCAATATGCAGTTTAGCTTAATATTAATTATGAATTTTAGCTTAATTAATAATATTTATTATTAACTAATTTTCCTCGATTTTATCTATTTCATCAAGCAGTTTTTCCACAGACCTTTATTGAACGATAAAAAGGAGGAATCGAACGTATGAACTCTGCCATTTTGTATTGAATTATTTGAATGACATTTTTGTACTGAAGTTTACAAAAGCCTAAAATAATCAGTAGTGTATGGCTCTCCCATGTATCAATTTATATTTTATTTTCTACTATATCTTTAATTTTGAATTAACTGTGTATTAAACCCAGATAAACTGGCCTATCCGCTTCGCAGGGTTAAAAACAAATATGGCTTGCAAGATTCAATAAGAGAATAAGATATTCATGAAATATACGTTTCTTTTGAAGGCGGATAATATAATACTTTTTGTAATGACTGGAATATTAAAAAGGCTGGAATATTAGAAGTGATGAAATTTCACAGTCAATTAATTCTAGAAGACTGACTCATTGAATAACATAACTATCGCAGAACTCTTTGATAAACTATATTCTTTGTGCCTTTATCATAACAGAGAAGTACAACCTGTCATAGTGACATAATTTGACGACGTCATTTTTTACCGCCAAAATGTACGTGAAATTGTGATTAAGGTGACTTTTGTACTTCTTCAACTTTTATCATCACAAAACCTGTTCTAAAATCATATTGTGTATTAGATGTGCTGATGTGGAAATTTTTATGTAAACATATTCAATAGTTATAGACATATATGAAATTTAACTGTAATTTATATACAGGGTGTTACCTGTAACGCTACTCACGATTTTTCTCCCACTTGCAGCCACCTTACGAAAAAATGTTTAGGACAATATTAGCAGGGTATGAAGTGCACAATAGATATTAGTAAAGCAAATTTTTAAAACAGTTTGTTCTCTTGGTAAAGTCAAGGTCACCTTGGGTTTTTTAAATAGGAAAAACATTTTTTTTTATTCATAGCTTTAGAGGACATCGAAACGAATTCAAAACATATATTACATGATATTTTTACTAACATATTACTCGATTTACAAAAGTGGAAATGTGAAGTAAAAGACCGGAATATTACGCGATGGAAGACGGCATACATTTTGAACATGTAATTAAAGTGTATTTTTCTTACATTCTAGTCGCGTGTTTACACTCAGTAATCTCTTTGGAACCAAATAATGATTACACTACCAAAGTCAAAAGCTAAGTACTTAACATTTCCACTTCTGTAAATCGAGTAATATGTTAATAAAAATATCATGTAATATATGTTTTGAATTCGTCTCGATGTCCTCTAAAGCTATGAATAAAAAAAAATGTATGTTCCTATTTAAAAAATCCAAGGTGACCTTGACTTTGCCAAGAGAACAAACTGTTTTAAAAATTTGCTTTACTAATATCTATTGTGCACTTTACACCCTGCAAATATTGTCCTAAACATTTTTTCGTAAGGTGGCTGCAAGTGGGAGAAAAATTGTGAGTAGCGTTACAGGTAACACCCTGTATACATATACATAAATAGGTTTAGTGCTAATGCTTGAAGTTATGTGAAAATTAGTAAGTAAATACTTAATTTGCGCTAACTGATTGATTCCCTTACCTTTGACTCGAGATGTAGCCAGGACGACAAGCACACACGTACGAACCTAGTGTATTGATACAATCTTGCTCGCATCTGCCGTTGTTCCACTCACATTCGTTTATATCTGATTAAAATAAAGGACGATAATGTACAAAAATCCTCCACCACCAATAATTTATAATTTTCATTGCTATATATTCAGTTATGTTAATATATTCAATTGTATCGTATTATTCAATAAAGTAAATATGGTAGCTGTAATTATTCCTGACGTATTCAACATTATAAATAATTACTTGTTAGTAGGAAAATTATAATAATCTTTTGATGAGTTCATTTTTATGAACACAAGTGTTTTCCTGTATTTATGTGAATAATGAAAGTAAAATGATTATGTATGAAATTACAATTTATTGACAATGATTTTGTAAACAAAAAGAATATATATCATTCTTATTAAAGAAATAAGAAGATTCTTTAAATAATGTAAATAAAGTTAAATTGTTAATACTAAACTTTAAAACATTGTTATAGATTGATTAATGTTATAATAGACTTAATTTAATGCAACATTATCTGACGGTTAGTATTGACTTTTTATTATTTTTGTATTCCTTAGTAAAGGACTAATTTTTTACTGCTCTTTCATACCTTAATAAAGTAAATGATTGATTATAATAGAGAACGTTGAATAAATGATTGATAATGACAGCGAACGGTGAGTAAATAATTGATTATGATAAAGAAATTTGAGCGTTGTTAATCAACTTTTCTGATATGTATATTTTGTTTACTATTAATAGAAGCCATATTTTATAGCAGTATATACACATTATAGTTATCAATTTTATTAATAATAAAATTATTGGGTAGTATTTGTCAAATCTTATAAAATATTTTAAGAACAATTACATTTATTATAACTCTAAATAAAATTAATTAATACGAATATTTGCAATCAGATCAATAATGAAATTTTTAAAAAGTGAGATACGAAAGTTTTCGTACGAAAATGTAATCGTCACCCATAAATGAGTGATACAACATTCAAAGTGTTAATATGATTAGAAAAAATCACTCTGAAGCTTTTGAATGGACAGTGCATTTCTAATTAAATAATCCATAATACGTTAACTACTCTGAAGGACAGTACCACGCTATAATCTGGCTTAACTTGGTTCATAACTGGGTTAGGATGCAGTTAGAATCTCTGGTATACACGTTCGACAATGCTTTGAAACATCATCGCCAACTATACTTGCCTACGCAATCATTTCCACGCGATCTAAATCCTGGCGAGCAAGTGCATCGATAAGAGCCAGGCGTGTTGATGCATCTCTCTTTGCAAGGCGCATCCTCATTGCATTCGTCGATGTCTGTGCGAAGCAAGCTTACACATAATGGCGACGCAACGAATCCACAGCTTGAGAAAATATTTTACACGTACCTACACAATTGTCGCTGTCCAATCGATATCCTGCGTCGCACTCGCAACGATAGCTACCGTAAGTATTGATGCATTTGGTCTTCTTGCATGGCTTACTCGAGCACTCGTCGATATCTGAAAATAACTGCTGTTAATGACTGCGCAAACATAATATTCTATAATATCAAAACGTTTTCTGATATGAGAACTCAGCTTATCTTCGTTAGAGAGCTTTTAAAAGTATGGAGTTTTAGTTTGTAATTTATCGGACGTGTTTGTTTTATCTGAATCGTGGAACGTATTTGAAACATGATTCAAAAAGTTTGTATATGGCTCGATTGAATTATAAATACCTCAATAATGTTGAGTACATTATTATTTTCATACATGTTATAGAGAACTAAGGTTACTGGTTCTTTTTATCTTTTTAAACTTTCTATAACTGTTTTGTATGGATTCTTTAATGCAATACAATTGTTTTGTTAAATCAATCGATCTCTTTTATTATCCTCCGTAAATGTACCAATCCAAAATTATCGAAATGCCAACACTCCAAGAGATATTTGACATTCTGTTTTATGTTCATTATTTCCCTACAACTCTCCATTTAATAATGAATATTTAATATTTAGTACTGAACTTTTTATGTTCGATCTTTCGTAACTATTACTCAATCTTTATCTTTTGAGTACTTAAGTGTTCCTATTACTGCCATAATTGCAGTTCGAAAGGGCTATTAATATAATAATAAATCTACCAACTTCCAAACTACAATTGACAGTTACTCTGCTACACAGAAATAGACCATAGAGAAATTAACAAAATCATAAATTCATGAAGCGTTGGTACGTAAAATACCAATTTCTCATGGTCAACTTTCAATGAAACGTTCCGTAATTTATTTATCGTTATTGCACACGATAGTTTTATAACTTCTAAATCAATTTCCATCGTGCGTGTATGATGAACACGAACCTCGAAATACATTGCAGATGCTTAATCTCCTCTGACCTAAATTTCCACTTCAACGTGTTAAGCAACTTGGTGTATACAATTGGAAAGGGAAACGAGATTCTGTCTTAATCTATTGTATGCACAAAATATTAAACTTTCTAGTGACTATGCTGCACTATGTACATTGCACGTACATATATAATCGAAGTTGAAACGAGAATGATGGTGGATAAAATCTGATTAAAAGATTATACAGTTACTCTATCTCTTCATTTTCGAAGAATTAATCATCGGACAAAAAGAAATGAATTAAGTTCAATTATAATGTTTATACAGAATTTGGTCAATTCTAAAATGTTTACTTGTGGTCGTAATAACAAAAACACTCACCGACGCAAGTAGAATTCCGCATTTCGAAGCCTTCTTTGCACTCGCACTCGAAGGACCCAATAGTGTTCACACACAGTTGATCGCAGCCATGTTGCCCAGCACATTCGTCCACATCTTTACACTTCGATCGATCAGTTTTATCATGAATGTAACCTTCCTTGCATGTACAAACGACCAGTCCATCGTCCACATTACAAATCTGTTCACATCCTCCATTGTTGTCAGCACAAGGATCCAGAAGATGGCAGGATTTGTTTCTTAACTCGTGGCCCGTCGGGCAGTCGCACTGATAAGACCCCAATTCGTTGATGCAGACATGAGAGCAGCCACCATTATTATCCTCGCACTCGTTCACATCCGTGCAGGTCTTCTGATCCTCCAATTTAAAGCCGTCCGGACATTCGCAGCGGTAACTACCTTCAACATTGACACACGCATCGCTGCATCCTCCATTCTCCATTTCACACTCGTCAACGTCTCGACAAGTTTTTGAATCCAGCTCTAAGTGAAAACCAGTGGAGCAACGGCAGACAAAGCTGCCTTCCAAGTTTACGCAGACGTCCGAGCAGCCGCCATTTTCCATCAGACACTCGTCTACGTCGACACAAGTCTTGCCGTCCTCGTCCAAATGCAGACCAACCGGACAACTGCACCTGACGCCGCCAGCGACGTTGAAGCAGGCATGAGAGCAGCCGCCATTGTTCATTTTGCATTCATCGACGTCGACGCAACTCTTGGAATCATTTGCTAGCACGTGGCCATCTGGGCAGCTGCATTTCCAAGATCCAGGCGTGTTGGTACATACATGAAAGCACTCGGCTACACCCGTTTCGCACTCGTCTACGTCGACGCAGGTCCTCTCATCCTGCGAGAGTTCGTATCCTGAAGGACAAGAGCAGAAGTAACCGCCGATAGTGTTTGTACACTCGTGCGAACAGTCGCCATTCCTCTCGAGACATTCGTCGATGTCCAAACAGCTGGACTTGTCCGAGTGCAGATAGTGTCCCTCGTAGCAGGTACACACGTAGCTGCCCAACAGGTTCAGACAGTCGTAGCTGCAGTTGTGCTGGCTGTTCAGACACTCGTTCACGTCGATACAATTCTTTTTATCTTCTGGGAGAAGCATATACCCTGAAGGACACTCGCAGTAGTAACCGCCTTCAGTGTTGACGCACATGTGCGAGCAGCCAAGGTCCACATCGTTCTCGAACTCCTCGCATTCGTCGATATCCTCGCAGGTCTTCTGATCTTCTTTTAAGCGGAAACCCAAAGGACAAGAACAATGAGCTTTCTCGGTGCCTTCTTCGGGGTGACAGTGATGGGAGCAGTTGCCATTGTTCTGTTTGCAACCATCGGTTAGTCTGCAAGTTTTGGTGTCGTTCTCAAGAGCATAGCCTGAAGGACAGGAGCAGCGAAATGATCCAACTAAGTTCAGACAGGTGTGCGAACAACCTCCGTTAGAATCCTCGCACTCGTCGACGTCGTCGCAGAATGCTGGCTCAATGGAGTTTATTTTGAATCCTTCGTTGCAGGTACATTCGAAACCGCCCTCTGTATTCGCGCATTTGTGAGTGCAGTTGTCTTTTAGCTCCAGGCATTCGTCAATGTCAACGCAGGTGGAATTATCTTCGTGGGACAGCTGGAATCCGGAAGGACACTCGCAGCTGATGGACCCGTTAACGAAGGCGCATATGTCCGAGCAACCGCCGTTGTTGACGAAGCACTTGTTCTCGTGAATGCAAAGAAGTTTATCATCCGCGAGGATCATTCCGGGCGGACAAGAGCAGAAAACCTCACCATCCTCGTATAAACAGTCGTGGGAACATCCGCCGTTGTCCAGGAGACACTTATTTCGTTCTAGACACACGGTTCCGTTTTCCTGAAGAATCATTTCTGGAGGACAAGAGCAAAATACCTGTCCATTCTCTGAATTACAGAAATGGGAACATCCTCCGTTCTCCACGTAACATTTGTTCTCCTGGACACAGGTGGCGTTGTCATCTTCCAAAATCATTCCCGGCGGACAGAAGCAGGACGCTGTACCGTTCTCGTAGTGACACAGATGAGAACATCCACCATTGTCGATCAAACATTCGTCTATCTCTACACACGTCTTTCCGTCATCTTCGAGTAGCCTGTAATTATCGGGACAAGCACACTCGACGCCTCCCTCGGTATTTGCGCACAAGTGAGAGCAACCGCCGTTGTCCTGGATGCACTCGTTGACGTCCTCGCAGCTCCTTCGATCCTCGCCCAGTCGATAACCGTTTGGACAACTACACTCGAAGCTACCCTCCGTGTTGACGCAGGAATGAGAACAGTTGTTTACCTCTTCGCACTCGTTCCTATCCTGACAGTTCCTGGCGTCGCTGGACAAAACATAGCCGGTTGGACAACGACACAGGAAACTGTCCTGGACGCTGACGCACTCGTGAGAGCAACCGTGTTGACCGTCGCAAAAATCAATTTCCTCGCACGTCCGACCGTCGGAGCTTAATTTCGAACCGACGGGACACTCGCATTTGTAACCACCGTGTTCCTTCACACACGCGTGGCTGCAATTGTGTGGTTGACCACACTGGTTCGCGTCAGCACAGCTCTTATTGTCCTGTTCAAGAACCAAACCTTCCGGGCACGTACAGGTATAGCTACCGTCCACGTTCTCGCAGTTATGGGAGCAATCGTGAAGGTCCATGGCGCATTCATCGATGTCCTGACAAGTTTCCTCGTCATCGTCCAATTCATACCCTTCAGGACAGGTGCAATTAAAACTGCCTTTAATATTCAGGCAAGTGTGAGAACATCTCCCGTTATTTTGCAGACATTCGTTGATGTCCTCGCAAGTTTGATCGTCTTTTAAAGTGAAACCCGAAGGACAATCGCAGTAATAGGATCCTTCCGTGTTTATGCAAATGTGGCTGCAAGAATGATCCTCGGCGCACTCGTCCACATCACTGCAAGTCCTCTCGTCGCTTCCAAGTTGAAATCCTTCGGGACAACCACAACGAATCTCCTCTCCGTCTTGCTCGTACGTGTGAGAACAGTTGCGACAGGTCCTTAAATCCTGTTCAAGCTTCCATCCTGTTGGACAGCTGCAATTGTACCCACCTACAGTGTTCACGCACCCGTGGGAACAGTTGTGTCTATGAGTGAAATCCTGACACTCGTCGATGTCCTCACAGACACGAGCATCTTTCGAAAATTGATGTCCTACGGGACACGAACACGTGTATGTTCCTTCCAGATTTATGCAGTCAGAAGGACAGTCATGGTTACCCTCAACGCATTCGTCGATGTCGACGCAATTTTGGTCGCCCTTGAGTTTAAATCCTGCGGGACACTCGCAGATGTACGATCCTTCCGTATTTTTACAGGAGAAGCTGCAATTGCTGGAATTGTCACGACACTCGTCAACGTCCTCGCAAGTCACGCTGTCCCTGCCGATTCTGTATCCTGGAGGACACTCACACTTGTGGCTCGAACCATCAACCACGCAGAAATGGGAACAGGATGAATTCAAACAAGGGTCACTATCAAGGATTACACACGTAACAGCATCCTCAGATAAGGTCCATCCTGCCGGACAGGAGCAACGGTAGGAACCATGAACATTATTGCACGAATGTGAACACTCGTGATTCTCTTCTTCGCACTCGTCTACGTCCTGACATTGACCTGTGTCGTCCTGTCGCAGTCCTTCAGGACATAAGGGATCCTCACAGGTCAGCCCATCTTGCAATAACTTCAAACCTTCAGGACAAACACATTTGTAACTTCCTGGTGTGTTAACGCAGTCGTGAGAGCAGTCATGTTCGTCCTCCAGACACTCGTCGAAGTCTTTGCACGTTTTCTCGTCCTCCTCTAAAATGAATCCCTCGGGACAACCGCATTTGTAGGTGTCGTGTTCCTTTTGACAAATGTGAGAACAGTTTGCAAAGCTGCATACGTCGATCGTGAGACACAATCTTTTATCATTTGCTATGTACATTCCAGCAGGACACGAACACTCGTAGGATCCTTGCACATTGAGGCACTCGTGAGAACATTGATGGGTGCCATCCAAACACTCGTTCACATCCTCACAAGATTTAGTATCGTTTGCTAACGCGAAACCTACAGGACACCTGCAGATATATCCTCCATCTTGATTAATGCATTCATAAGAACATCCATGTTTGTTTGTAAAACATTCGTCTACATCCTTGCAGGTAAATCCATCAGACAGCTCATATCCTTCGTAGCACTCACACTTGTAACTACCTGGGACGTTCACGCACGCCTGGGCACACTGGTGCTCACTGTTTGAACACTCGTCCACGTCCGAACATGTCCTTTTATCCTCGTTTAAAACGAATCCAGGTGGACATGTACAAAGGTAGCTCCCGTGAAGGTTCGTGCAGCCGTGTTGACAGCCGTGAAGCTCTCTCGAGCATTCGTCAACGTCCGTGCAGTTAAATTTATCGTGTTCCAGCGTTTCCAAACCTTCGGGGCAGACGCAGAGAAAACTGCCCTCCAAATTCACGCAGGAGTGAGAGCATAAGTGTAGAGAACACTCGTCGATATCGGAACAGCTGGCTTCATCCTCCAGAAGCTGATACCCTGTAGGACATACGCAGACAGGTCCGTCCTTTGATTCTTGACACTCGTGAGAGCATGGTGTTATCAGAGTCTGACAGGTTCTCGTTGGAACGCAGCTAACGTTATCCTCTTTCAAGCTAAATCCCAAGGGACACGTGCACGCATACGAGCCTTCCGTGTTGTTGCAACCGTGGGAACAAGATGGCGTTCGCTTACACTCGTCAACGTCGTTACAGGAGACACCGTCTTCGTGCAGCTCGTAACCAGAATAACAGACACAGTAATAACCGCCTGGTTCATTTATGCACTGATGTTGGCAACCGTGGGGCTCGCCTCCGTCTCCTTCCACGCATTCATCGATGTCTGAAAGGAAAAGAAGCGGAATTAAGTTTAGAATTTCAAATAATTAATTTAATTCTGAATTTGATTGACGAATAATTAAAGATTCATTTTTAAGGACATGTTCTTCAACATTATGACTGCCGTTACCTGTATGTGAATGTTTACTAAACTAGATGTGATTTAAAGCTAACAAACGCATGATTTGACCAATCCACAAGATTTCTTTTTTAAATTTTCAAACAAGAATTAAAAATTAAATTTCACTTTTTAATTAAAAAGTCATTCAATTGACAATTGTTATTCAATTCTTAATTAAGAAATATTTATTCTATTATAATTAAATTGACTAATTCTTAATGCGGTAAGTAGAAATTTCGAAACATTAATTGGAGACGGTACTCCATTAGAGTAAAATACAATAACTTAAAATAATAAATATATTAAAAATTTATACGGAGTAAATCAATGACAGACAGTCTTTTATTATTTCAGTTGTGGGTGCTAGTTATGCAATTAAAATAAAATTTTTCGAAATAGATATAATAAAAAATATTTGATTTTTAAACCTTTTGGTTACAAATAACAATTATTAAAATGAAAATTTACGAACCGACACATTCGCCGTTGTTATTTTTCTTGAAACCTTCGTCACACTTGCCAAATTCAGGAATTTCAGTGACACCTTCTTCGTCGTATTCGTCGTCCCCATCGTCGTCATCTTCAGCATCGTAGTCCTCGTCTTGAAGAACCTTTGTCATCTTTTGAGGCTTATTGACACATTTGAATGACCCAATTGTGTTCTCGCAATCGGTGTTGTTCGGGCAAATTTTTGATGCATTTTCGCATTCATTCACGTCTAATAACATATTAAATTACAAAATCTATTTATCCATCAAATTTAACTCATTGCACATTTTAGAATTTCTAAACTTTCATACCTTGGAAATTTTTAAATTTCGGTACATTGGACATTTGACACTTTTCAATTTTGCTACATACAAATTTGGAATTTTGGAACTCTGAAATAGCTGGAAATTGGGAATTAATTAACTCTAATATTTTGGGGGCTATACCCTGTTTTTCAATATTTACCATCTTGTTTTCACGCTGTTGGGGCCCCCTAGCCCCCGTTGAGTGGCCTTCGGCTATCCAATTTACTAAACTGATAAATTCACAAATTACCAAATACTAAACTGATATCCACGCCGTCACAACCAGGGGTCTACACTGTGTCCAAAGACTAATACCTATCGGCTATCAAATGAATACGCTTTACTCTCTAGGGGGATTTGCCTCCACCCCTCCCCGCATTATTGGATTATTGAGGATTCTGACAATATTTTGGAGGCAGGTCGGTGGTTGCATATCCGAATTTCACATTGTCAAGGTTATATCCCGTCCCAATTAGGATGTATGAAGGAGGTATGAATAAAATTCAAAGGATACTGCAAGTTTAATGATATATGGGTAAATAGAAATTACACACAGAAATGCGTCTGCGCACGTAGCATATCGCCTTTAAACTCAATCTCTTGCGTCTTTTGTCCATTGACCCGCATCCTCGCCGTTCCTCATGCATTCCATTCACACATATATGCACTCATACACACTTGCATGTACACGTTTATAGGTACGTTCACACATACTCGAGTGAGGATGGGAGGGAGTAATTAAGTGATTGAATGAGTGCATCAGTCAGTGAATTAGTAAGTGAATAAGTGAGTGAATGAAGGTGGGAGGGAGTAATTGATTAAGTGATTGAATAAGTGAGTCAATCAGTGAATTAGTAAGCGAATAAGTGAGTGAGTGAATGAAGGTGGAGAGAGTATGTGATTAAGTGATTGATAAGTGATTCAGTCAGTGAATTAGTAAATGAATAAGTGAGTGAGTGAATGAAGGTGGAGGGAGTATGTGATTAAGTGATTGATAAGTGATTCAGTCAGTGAATTAGTAAATGAATAAGTGAGTGAGTGAATGAAGGTGGAGAGAGTATGTGATTAAGTGATTGATAAGTGATTCAGTCAGTGAATTAGTAAATGAATAAGTGAGTGAGTGAATGAAGGTGGAGAGAGTATGTGATTAAGTGATTGATAAGTGATTCAGTCAGTGAATTAGTAAATGAATAAGTGAGTGAGTGAATGAAGGTGGAGAGAGTATGTGATTAAGTGATTGATAAGTGATTCAGTCAGTGAATTAGTAAATGAATAAGTGAGTGAGTGAATGAAGGTGGAGGGAGTAAGTGATTAAGTGATTGAATGGGTGAGACAAATAGAGAATTAGTAAGTGAATGAGTGAATGAGTGAATGAAGGTGGAAGGGAATAAGTGATTAAGTGATTGAATAAATGAGTCAGTCAGTAAACTAGTAAGTGAATAAGTGAGTGAGTGAATGAATCTGAGAGGGAGTAAGTGATTAAGTTATTAAATGAGTGAGTCAGACAGTGAATTAGTAAATGAATAAGTGAGTGAGTGAATGAAGGTGGAGGGAGTAAGTGATTAAGTGATTGAATGGGTGAGACAAATAGAGAATTAGTAAGTGAATGAGTGAGTGAGTGAATGAATGTGAGAGGGAGTAAGTGATTAAGTGATTAAATGAGTGAGTCAGTCAGTGAATTAGTAAGTGAATAAGTGAGTGAGTGAATGAGGGTGAGAGGAAGTACGTGATTAAGTGATTTCATGAGTGAATTAGTAAGTGAATAAGTGAGTAAGTGAATTAGTAAGTGAATAAGTAAGTGAGGAAAATAAGTAAGGGAAAGAGAGAGTGAATGAATAAGTGAGTGAGAGGCTAGTAGATAAATAAGTAAATGAATAAATAAGTGTGTGAGTGAGTTAGTAAGTGAATAGGTGATTGAATGAGTCAGCGAATGAGTGGTCAGAACAGGACTTTATATTATTTTAATTACGTATTCAACAATTACCTTGGCACGTTTTCCAGTCGTCTGTCAAATAAAAGCCATCTGGACAAAGGCAGAAGACGCTTCCAGGGGTGTTCAAGCAAACATGTGAGCAGCCGCCGTTGTTCGTCGAACACTCGTCGATATCCTCGCAGGTGTGATTATCCGAGGCCAATTTGTGACCCGGAATATCGGAACAACTACACTCGTAGCTCCCTTCAAGATTGATGCAAGTACCTTGGCACGGACCGTGGCCGTTATTCACCAGACACTCGTTAACGTCTGAACGAGAACAAGCAACCTTGTGAATTGCTTTGGCAATTGGAAAAGGAACAAGGGGCCACCTAAATTCCTTATTTATTTCGCCATTAATTGGCTATCGAGAGAAATCGTGAAATAAGGAATTTAAAGCTCCTCTGTATACAATCAGATACTCAGCACGACTATTTGTAAACTGTTTGCTGTAGCAGAAAATGCTTCTAACAGTAAACGGACAATGAATTGACTTCCATCCCTTGACTTTCATTATTTTATCGTTAACGTCGCTTGTTAAGGTCAAGTGTTATTATCTTTCAGCACTGAAGTAGTAAATCTAATAGATTTTCATCTACTGATTATAAATCTATTAGCTGATATTTTTATGACCCCTGATATCAATTTTGAAAAACAAATGAAATTTTTTTTTAAGAGTTTATGCCTGTTTTAAGTACAAAAATTGTGCAAATTCGATTTGGAGATAATTTCTCGGTGGACTCTGATGAATATAGCAATACATACTTCCGGAGAAAAATGTGAGACGCTTCACGATTTTGCGTATCACCCTTTCGTAGGGCTGTCCTAATCTTCTCTATATCATTTCAATTTTAGTATACTGGGTATCCCACTTAAACTGATGTAAAAAATCTGGAAGACGTATGATTTAAGAAAAACAAACTTACACGTGTCCTTCAGTATTTCAAGTTTGGAGTCAAACGGCATTACTAATTTTTTAATACAGGGTTTTCAAGGTTATTTCAAGGTCACCTTGATACGTTACAACAAAATGTATGAAACAAAAGTCGTACATTTTTTTATTTCGAATATGATTCCGGAATAAAAAATATGGTTTATGCTAAAAAAAGCCAAGATAACCTTGAAATAATCTTGAGGACGCCTCTACATTAAAAAATTAGTAATGCTATTTGATTCCCGACTTGAAATACTAAAGGACACATGTCAGTATGTTTTTCTTAAATCACACTTCTTTGAGATTTTTTAACCGACTTCGAAAAAGGAGGAGGTTACTCAATTCGGTCAGTATATTTTTTTTTTTTTTCTATGTATGTTCGTCGATTACGCCTAGTTGGTTCTGACTCCCCATTGGTACCATTATCAAAAAATTTTTCATTTTTTAATTGCAAAGTGTTGTTATTGCAAAAAAACCGGCAACTTTTGAAATAAACTTTTCTCGATTTTAGTGCGTTTTTAATATGTTGTCAGGGGCATGATTCTGAACAATTTTGCTTTTATGCAAATTTCGCGGAAAGCTTTAGTTTTCGAGATATTAGCGAAAAATTGTTGTTAACTTTTGAAATCAACTTCGAACGATTTTAATATCCTTCGAATATGTTGTTAGGGGCGTTTTCTGGACAACCTTATGCATAATTGACGGAAAGCTTTTGTTTTCGAGATATTAGCAAAAATTGTTGTTAACTTTTGAAACCAACTTCGAACGATTTTTATGTCTTTCGAATACGTTATTAGTGGCATCCTTCTGAACGAGTTTTTCGTTATGCATAATTGACGGTAAACTTTAGTTTTCGTGATATTAGCGAAAAGCTATCGTTAATATTATTAGTGGAACGCCCCGTGCTATGCATGGGAAAGACAAGAAAGGACAATTACAATGCACTGTACCAAAACACTAACTAAGCTTTGCCGCTTTGACACGCAACTTATGCAAACTCATACAGCAAGATGAGTTCACGTTGACGTTGGTGTATTATTCCCATTGCTTGGTACAGTCTCCGTATCGTTCTAAAAATGCATCAATTTGATTTGTTAGAAAATTTGTTGCGCAGGATCTGCTATTATTTTACGGATACTTTGACCCTTGCGTAGTTCTAAATCGTAAGAGATACACATGCGTAGTAAATTTTTACAAAGAATGTTAACAAAGTACAAATGGATGAAGCACCCTCAATCATGATGTAATTAGTTTGTACTTGTCCCTGAAAGAGTGTCCCTTATTTTTTTTTCTATGCATGTTCGCCAGTTTTTTTTCCTTGGTGGGTGGTCCGATCGGAACAAACCCCTTCGCATCTTGTAGAGTCTGACTCCCCATTGGTACCATTACCAAAAATTTTTTCATTTTTTAGTTGCAAAGGATTATTTTTTCTATGCATGTTC